TGGGAAGACTCCCTGGAGAAAGGAATCCCCTTCCAGTCTTCTTGCCTGAAAAGTCCCATGGACAGAGGAGCCTGGCAGGCTACAGTCCTTAAGGTTGCAAAGAGGCCAACACAGCTGAGCAACTAACACTTTGAGTACCATGGCCTAGTTCTAGTACACACTGCCCCAAGCAGCATGTACATACTTTGTATAGTGGTTCAGAACACAGATTCTACAATGAGATAGACCTGGGTTCAAATTCCAGCTGCCGCTTATTCTGAGTAAGTCTATAACTTCCCTAAGCCTCACCTTTGCCATTTGGAAAAAGCTAGTAACAATGCCTAGATCTGAGCTGAGATCATCCATATTTAAGACAGTATCTCCACACCAGGCACGTGGGACAGACTCAGTAAATGCTGCCTATTTTTAGCTACTAACAACATTCAACACTTAATCATAAAAGTTACTTTGTTGAATGGACAGTGAGTGAGTCTGGACACTGTTTTTTTTCAAATGTAAACTGAGTGTTCATTTCTTCTGACCTCTCTTTAGTAGAATCTGGATTTTGACCTTCCTGTTTTTAAAAATAATATGCTTTGGTAGGTATGCTTTTATCAGTTGTGTTTGTCAGAATAATTGTTTCCTTCTGTGACACTGCATTGTGCAAATGTTTTTTATTTCTGTTTAATCAGATACTTTTTGTCTTTGATGATATCTTCAATAGTCAGAAATCTCTTTCTTGGGCAGCTGTTATAAATAAGGAATTTGTGGCTATATAAGGTATCAAATACAGCCCCAAGTTAATTTTTTGATCCACTTACTCTCAACAATATTTATTCACTAGTGATTTGACCCATTATTTTATGGCATCTGGTTTGTCACACATTAGGTTCTTATAATTTAACTCTTTCTACTCTATCAATGTTTAAAAATTTTAGCCAATATTTGTACAATTGTTAATCAATTTATTAGCCTTTACTGAGTCTTTGTCAGTGTCATGTACTGTGTGGGAATATTGTTGATGAATACAAGGTAGAAAGACATGTGACTAAAGGTAGCTCACAGACTAGGGGCAAAGGAACAAAACTAACATTTCTTTTCCTTAGACAGACAGATGAGTAAGCCTGAAGACAAATGTGTAAGCAAATGTATAAAACAATGTGGTAAGTATTCATACCATTAGTGTGGCTCAAATGTTATCCTTGCATAGGAGAGGAGATCAGGGAATTCTTCTCAGAGTGGGTCTAAAAAGTCAAATGGATTTTAAACTGCAAGCATTTTTCAGATGGAAGACGAGGAGTGATGCAATTGGAGCAGGCAGAATAGCATTGCAAAGGCAGGAAGGAATAAAGAATATGATGTGTTTGGGGCACGCATCTAGGTGTAGCTGAACATACGTATATGGGTTGTCATGAGAAAAGTGCCCAGGAAGGTAGGGTAGGGCAAGATTGCCAAGAACCTTGCAAATCACGTCAAAATGGAAGGTATTATATTCCAACCAAGGTTTTTAAGTAAAAGAGACAGGATGAGAATTTTACTCTGGAAAGATCATTCAGAGGACAGTGAAAAGGAGAAAGAGGATATGGGAGAATCTGGAGTCTGGAGATAAACAAGAGTCTGGGTGCCGGATGACGAGGGCCTACACCAAGGTACAGGCAGCAAGAAGGGAGGAGAGGGAGGGGTCAACAAGAGCTCGGGACATTTCTAAGATCTGGCAACTTCAGTGCCTAAATGTTGCAAAATGACCACACTTCTCTCCTGATAACCCACTAAGAAAACAGAAGAGGAACTAAATAGCCATAAACCCACAAACACAAGAAGAATCAGAGAGAAAAGATAAAAACAAGTCTTGGAAGGTGGAGAGGTGACAGAGCAGCAGTAAGTAACAAGCTGAGCAGAGCCGAGGATGAACTCCAGGCCCACAGAGGGCTGCGGGCAAGGACCAAGCCAAGGCACCCCATGGACCAGAGAAAGCTCCGGACCAGGAAGTGGGGAGGCGCAGGTGACTGTTCACAGACTGTATATGAAACAGCAGGGCATCAAGTTCCTTTCCTCTGTTCATGCAACTGGGGAATAACTCCTCTTTGCCTGACCCCTCCCCAGGGTATGTGTGTGTGTTAGCGGGGGGCAGGGGGATTCCTCTGAAGGAATCAAACCAGAGAGGGCCTGAACTTGGGACACCAGGCATAACAGAGAGAGAGGGGATGGACCTAGAAACTGTGGGATTCAATGACGTCTGTATCCTAAGCAGTGGGATACCTCAACTCCCTTATATCACCTGGCTCTCTGGGGGCCCCCAGGCAAGAGATTAAAGGACTCTTCTCTAGAGGAACTGAAGAGGCACAGAGGAAATCTCTAGCTAATCACACTTGGGGGTCCTCCCATGAAAAAGCCAGCTTCTTGATCACTCTACAATGAGATGCCCTAACCAATAAGATCTGCCCAGGACACAGGTCTTCTCAACAGCTTTTCAGGACTCACTTCTAAGTAGAAAAAGAGATCAAAAGATCAACAGACATTTTAGTAAAGCCTCCAATATAAAAGGGAGCATGAGACCAAGCCAAAGAGAAAAGAATCTAAAGATCATAGGGCAGAAAAATACTTTAAAGGGAGAATAACTAATATTACCTGAAAAATAAGCATTGTACCCATAAAACAAGAATGAGATGATTTTCAATTTTTTTGGAAAAGATAAAGACAAATCAGATTACAACCAAGAGCTCTTGGAAATCAAGAACAGGGTAATATGACCAGCTAAAAGGATATTTCCCAGTCTCTGAGAATAGCTGGAAAGGCTAGTGAATCAATCTCAGAGGTAAATAGCCAAGGACAAGACTCAAAATTATATGTCAGAGCAGTCTAGTGGGGATATCACTGCTGCAGCAACCAAGGTTCCGACACCGTTGACCCTGAAAAGCCCTGGATGGTGGAGCCAGGAATGTAGTCACCTTGCAGCCACTATCATGCTTCCAAAGAGTTCCTCAAAGTCCTCATCTCTTCAGGTTTCTGGTTCCAAGTATATGGAGGGCTCATCTGATTCACTGAGATTTATTCCTGCGCCTGAACTCTGGCTGTAGGAGGGACTGGAAAACTGAGCATCTGACATTTTCAGTTTTAAGCGTGAAAGGCTTGCTTTGCCTCCCACCAACACTCACAGCACTGGAAATTCTTCAAACATAGGGAGGTCAGTCAATGCCAAGTAGGGGAAAAAAAAGACAAAGAGAAATTCCAAGACAACAGCTTTGTAGCAGGCCTAAAGAACTGACAAACTAGAGGGGATCAGGGTAGGAGCTATAGGACAGACAGGAAAAAGCAAATGGATATGATAAATGTCTTAAGAATTTGAGCATTTGGAACTTAACATTGAGAGCCATTTGCCATATTCACCAGAGTATGCAAAGAAAAATGATGACAGAAAAACCAAGCAAATAAAAAAACCATGGCAATTATTAACCCCAGGAAACAGAAAAAGTGGGACAAAAAAGGCAATGTAATCATAGTATAAAATATGGCTCATAGGTAAGCAATATTTACTTAATCATGATAATATAAATACTAGCTACTAAAATTAATTTTTAAAACTGTGATATAATTACATGGGGGACATTGGGTGAGAAATCAGAGTGGCATAAATGAGCTAGTCTTCGTTTATCATAATAGTAAATCAAAAGATGATACCTAAAACTGATATATCAAGAAGTAGCAATACAAATATATTATTTAGTAACATGAAGGTTAACACGATTTGGTTCAGAGTGGGATTTTCTGGGAGTGGAATTACAAGATGGAGAAAAAGAACGGTGTAGAAGAACAGAACTACTATTTCTGACTATGTGACTTTTAATTCCACTTGGTTTACTAAACTGTACTTGTTATTTTGACAAAAATGATATGCTTAAAAATTTTTAATTATGCTCCTACCATTAAGAACCATCCACCTATCTGGAGGTAAAGAAGGAAAAGCAAGTGTACAAAAGAACCCAAAGCAATTATTTTTGGACATCTCCTTCTATGTCTCCTGTCTCCTCTTCTTTACCCACACTTGTCTGCACAGACCTCAGGAAGGCAGGTACTGGGCTTCAGCTACAGGGAGACCTGGGTGTGATATCCAGCCATGCAGAATATCAGCTCTGAGGTGTCTTTGTAATCTCACTGGGCCTTGGGGTCTTCACTGGTAAAATAGGAAGTGCTAACAATGATCATATGACATGCAATCATGTACGTCAAGTACCTAGAATACAGGGCTTCCCAGGTGATGCAGTGGTAAAAGAATCTGTCTGCCAGTTTAGGAGTTGCAAGAGGCACAGGTTTGATCCCTGGGTCAGGAAGATGCCCTGGAGAAGGAAATGGCAACCCACTCTAGTATTCTTGCCTGGAAATCCCACAGACAGTGGAGCCTCACAGGCTACACAGTCCGTGGGGTCACAAAGAATCGGACACAACTGAGTGAGCACAAGCAAGCACCTAGAATATGGAAGACTAAACAATTATGAGTTCTCTCTTTCTCTTGGAATTTCTCATGCCCCAGAAGTCTCCCTTGAGCATCTCCCTCTGTCTCTTGTCTGCAGATATGAGGAAGAAAGAAAAGCTGTGCTCTTTATCACATCTCCTGTCTCTCCATCCCCCTCCTGCCTGGTTTGGGAGATTCATCCTCCAAAGACAAAATCGACTGAGCCCTTGCCAGGCAGCTTGTCACAACACACTTCCACTTCCCTTGAAAGGAGAAACTGGTTTCATTCATGTTGGCTGATTTTTGAGTAAAGTGAAATTAATATTTAGTTACTAGTCATGGCTCCCAGGTCTAACACAGAAGAGTAGATAGAAATTTCTGCTTAAAATTAACACTCTATACCAGATTAGAATTATAAATTCAGCTGATAACTGACCATAACATTTTAAAGTAAATATCAAATGAAATTAACAAGGATTTTAAACCCAGCTATAAAATGACCTAAGGATTTGAAAGAGGGTTGTGATAACTCCCAAATTAGGAGGCCTTGGTGTGACTGCAAAGCACCCACCTTCTCTGCTTGGCCTGGGCTGGTTACTTGGCTCAGGGATGAGTTTTGCTCCATAGGCTCCCCTAGGCTGATCCCCTTCACTCCTGGGACTCTGTGCGTTCCCGTAGGGCCCCTGCCCCTCCCAGGAGGCAGTAGGCCATCCATCAGCGTCCTCGGGAGGGAAGGAAGCAGGGGACCTGAGGTCCAAGAGGAAGCTCTCTTGAAGGGTTTGTTTGCTGGCCTTCTTGGTCTTCCCCTTCTGATTCTCTAGGATCCCATGGCTCTCTCCTCCCCTGGGCTGGCTACTCTCAAGCTTCCTGGTTAGCTGGAGGAGATGATCCATGTCCTTGGTGAATTCTAGCAGAGTGCCCTCAGCAGGGCTCTGGGCAATGCCCTCAGAGCCATAACTGGGAGCCTTCTCCAGAAGCAGGGGCTCAGAGCAGTGGAGAGCACCCAGGCCCTCCCCGGGTACTGACTCAGGCCCCTCCGAGAGGCTGCAGGCACCCATGGACAGGGAGAAGTAAGAGTAGTCCACTGTGATGTATGTCAGCAGGAAGTTGATGGTGACGATGGGGGCCAGGATGTTCACCTGACCCACGAGGACAAAGGCCATGGTCACCAAGCTGGTCAGGCAGATGGCAGCTACAGGCGTTTTATTTGGCCCTTTCTGCAAAAACAAAAGGAACATGCAGTACCATGAAATTTCATGGAAGAAAATCACATTACATGATAGAAACACAACTCAAATTGGCTCAGTCACTTCTCCCATGTGCTGCTTGGTGTGTTAATAACAGTTCATCTACAAGCTTGGGATAATGATGTCCAATCCAGAGTAACTATTAATATGGGACAATACTATAGAACATGAACTTCACAAATATTTCTCTTTTTGTCTTTCACTGGGTTTTAAAGTCAGCTTTGGAAATCGAAGAGGTACAAGATTTATTCTTCCCAAACTTTAATGGAGAAAACAACCTCAAGGGGAGTGGCAGACTCCGGAAGACACAGCAGATTCGTTGGTGACTAAAGTAGGGAGATTCTAATACTAAACATGAACAAACTCTCGCATACACATTTATGCACATCTGTTACTAATGGGGGTGAGTATGGGTGACCTTCAGGAAGACAGAAGTGGAGAAAATGTGCTAACTCCATGTACTGTGACCTGTCACTCCACAGAAACTATTTCTCACAGTCCCTGACATGGTTCTTGGGCCAAAAGCAACAGTGCTTCCAAGTCCTTACTTTCCTTGACCTGAGGGTTGCCTTTGACCCAGCTGGTTACTCCCTGGTCTCCTTACTTCTCTTGTTGGTCCCCATGTCATTGACTGCTCCTTAGTCTCTGTCGCTGGCCACTCCACATTTCTGAATTCTGCATTCAGAGCAATCTCCAGCTCCATCCTCAGACTCCTTCTCTTCTCTACCTATCTTCTTTCTTTAGGACCTCAATCAGGCTCATGGCCTTGAAAACCAGTTTAATACTCTTAGCTCCCAAATTTGAAACTTCAGGTTGAAATGTTCCCCTGAAATCTACACTTAGTCAACTGTCTACTCAACATTTCCAGCTGATGTCTAATAGGATCTCAGACCAAATATTTCCAAAACCAAACTGCTAATCCCTCGATGTCCTGCTTCCCAATCTACTCTGCAGATTCTCCACTTAAGAAAGTACCCATTTCATCCTTCTAGTTACTCAGTAGGCACAATTCTTGATGACTCCTCTCATTCCCTCATTCTTCTTCAGGAAATATTGTCAGCCTTACTCTCAGGATAGACACACGACCTAACCACTGCACTCACCTCCTTTATGCCATCTCTGTGATGGGAGAGACAGGCATGTCGGCCTCATCCAGACCTGATCTGTGAACCTCCCAGATATGTACCTCCAAGCACATCCCCCTTACTGAGAATTGGAACAGAGTTCAACCTTCACAGGATGGAGGTAGCAAAGTCATCACTGGCCTGAGTCTCTGAGGATCAGAGGCCCTATAAATATGAAACACCTCTCCTAGAACCCAGAGTAAATTTTTTTTTTTCAAAAAAGGAATAAAGATACATTTCATTGTTTTTGAAAATTACATTTTGGATATACTTACTACAGCTATTTATCATGCTGCTGAACTGCTGCTGCTAAGTCGCTTCAGTCGTGTCCGACTCTGTGCTACCCCATAGACAGCAGCCCACCAGGCTCCCCCGCCCCTGGGATTCTCCAGGCAAGAACACTGGAGTGGGTTGCCATTTCCTTCTCCAATGCATGAAAGTGAAAAGTGAAAGTGAAGACGCTCAGTCGTGTCCGATTCCTAGAGACCCCATGGACTGCAGCCCACCAGGCTCCTCCATCCATGGGATTTTCCAGGCAAGAGTACTGGAGTGGGTTAGCTATTTAGCATACTCTAACAATAAAACTATCAAGAATAAAGTAAATTGTCAAAAACTAATGAAATAAAAGGAGGGTCTGAAATAAGTGGAAGGAGGTCTTAGGTAAACTGTAGGATGTGCTAGTGATCCAGGAAGGACTTTGATAAGGGTGGGTTGTAAAGTGATAAAACAGTCACACATGGATGTTTGTTACCAAAAGACAGCACAAAGAAAAGTCAAGTCACAGAATGGGAAAAGATATTTGTTAACACATGTAACTGACAAAGAGCAATTCAGAATGTACAAGAATCCCTACAAAATAATTAGAAGACAGACAACCCACTAAAGACAATGTGCAAAAGGATGTCTATTAAACATACGAAAGATGCCCAACCTCATTAGTAATCAAGGAAATGCAAATTAAGACTGTAGTGAGATACCATTAAACACCCACCAGATTGGCAAAAATTAAAACATCTGATAATATCAAGTATTGGCAAGAACACAGAAGAATGGGAACACTTACCAACTGCTGACAGGAGTTTAAATTAACACAACTACTTTGGAGAAAGAGTTCACTGTTACCTACTAAGCAAAGATATATACAACTTACAACTGAGCAATTTCACTAACAGGTCTGGAATAACTCCACACGTGAACCAGTCTACTACAAGAATGTTCACTGCACTGTCCATAACAGTCCCAAACAGGGACATACCATGACAGCAGGATTAGTAAAGAAACTGCAGCAAATGAGGAAATGCTATAGAGAGATGATAATAAACAAGCCGCTGCTATCAGCAAAAACATGGATGACTCACATAAACATAATGATGCCTGAAAATCATGCCATATTTATATAAAGTTTAAAAAGCAGGCAAAACTGAACTGTTTTGTTTAGAGATACATGTGAAGGAGGTAATCCAGAGCTGGCAAACCATGGTCCCTGGGCCAGATGTGGTCACCATCTGTTTATATAAGCCCACAGGCTAAGGGCATGTCCCCTTGACCTCATGAGTCTCCTAGAGACCAGGACAAAGTCCTATAAAGCAAGGTCCTTGGCCTAGGTCTAACAGTCATGCTGGCTGCAGGAAGACAGGAACTTTCATACATTACTGGTAGAAATACAAAATGGTACAGCTCCCATGGAAGGTGTTTTGGCAGTATCTATTATTATTAAAATGTACTTACCCTTTGACCAGCAAACTCAGGAAAAGTATCCTATAGATATATCTATCTGCATATGTGTAAAATTGTACACACACACACACAGAGTATCCTTTGTAGCACCGTTTACTGGAAGCTGTACTATCTATAGGGAACTGGTTAATAAACTATGATATATCCACATGATGGAAAAAGAATGAGAAAGTTCTTTCTATATTCATACAAAAAGATAAATTTCCAAGCTATATTAAACAAAGAAAAGCAAGGCAAAGAACAATGTACACAGAACACTACCTCTGTAAAGAGAGAGAAGGATTCATGAAAAACTAATAAAACCAGCTATGATAGGGCATGGGTACGGGTGACGAAAAAGTAGAAAGACTCATGACCGGAGCAAAAATTCTCAGGGTATCTTTTTAGTTTTGAGTCCTGTACACACATTATCTTGGAGAAGGAAATGGCAACCCCCTCCAGTATTCTTGCCTGGAGAATTCCATGGACAGGGGAGCCTGGCTGGCTACAGTCCAGGGGCTCACAAAGAGTCAGATACAATTGAGCGACTGAACAACACAACTACTCATGTTACCTAATAAAAATAAATTAAAATAAAATAAAAGGCACATACCACATGGAAGTTACTAGAGATGATAGTCACTTGTCCTACCCGTCCATGCTGACTGGTGGATAAGAAGCAGAGGAAGGTAAAGGGAGGGATTAAAGATGACTTGTACCCACGTGGCATCAAACAAGAATGGGGCTGGGAATGGGAATGGGGTGGGGGGGAACCCTGTTGTGTTTCCACAACATAGAAATCAACTACAGCTTGCAACACGGGTTTGGGTGGACTCCGGGAGTTGGTGATGGACAGGGAGGCCTGGAGTGCTGCGGTTCATGGGGTCACAAAGAGTTGGACACGACTGAGCGACTGAACTGAACTGACTGACAGCTTACAAAACACATTATCGGGAAGTGGGGTTCTCGCGACTTCCTTCTCTTGTCACCCATTCAGTTTTAGGAATGTCTCATTTGATTTGACTCCACCAAGTTGTATCAGTTAGGGTTAGGGTTATGAGGATTAACAGGGAGCCCAGAGACCAGAAGTGTGAGAATTCAGCATAAAGTGACCCCAAAGGGGAGGTGAATCTCCAGGACAGAGTTAGAGCTGCAAGGACCAGGTCCCCCTCCTCACCAAGAGGTTCTTTTGTCTAGGCTAAACTTGGAGGATCCGGAATTTATTTTTACTAAAGGTTGTGGCACCACATCTCTCTGCCGTGGCTGGGTCCATGGTGCTACTGTGACCGTTAACTAACCCAGTGCTGAAGTGCTCTGGGTGGTTATGACATTGACAGATGCTTTGTCAGCGGCCCCAGACTAAAGAAGCCAGAGGACAGGGGTGCAGGCTTGTTTCTCACTACCAGAACCAGACCAGCGGCTCTTATCAGAAAGGTTTAAGCAATTTATTGGCCAACAGTCAGTTGATCAGCAAAAATGTACATTTCTCAAAGTAAAGGTCACTCACCCCTTGCCCCAAACAGGCCAGTGCGGGGATCACTTTCTCCTGGGCGATGCATTGCAGGATCCGGGGGGCTCCATAGAGGCCGCCCATACAGGAGGCCAGGGATGAGATGTACAAGCCCAAAAGGAACAGAAAACCCACTAGGGACACCTGTGTGAGGAAGCAGTTTCATTACTCAACATCAGAATCTGCTTCTGCTCCCTTCTGCTCCCCACCCACCCACACTCCATCTGATCATAAATCCTCCAGATTCGACACCTTAGATACATTCCCAGTACCTCAGACCCACCCCACCTCCTTGGCACTGCCACCATTTTAGTTTGACCCACCATCACTTCTTGTATGGACTACACAGAGCTTGTCAAACTGACTGTGTCTGATTCATCCAGAGTGCTTGTTAAAACACAGATTTTCTGGGTCTTACCTCACAGTTTCTTGATTCAGCAGGTCTGGTATATGGCCCCAAATTTGGATTTCTAACAAGTGTGTGCATGCTCAGCTGCTTCAGTCATGTCTAACTCTGTGCCAACCTCTGGACTGTAGCCCACAGGCTCCTCTGTCCATGGGATCTTCCAGGCAAGAACACTGGAGTGGGTTGCCATTCCCTTCTCCATGGTCTAACAAGGGCCCAGGTGATACTGATGCTGATGGCCTGGGGACTATCCTTTGCGAACCACTGCCAGCAACAATGCTAAGGGCTAAGCTCTGTCCCCAGGCCTCTGCCAGCATGACCTACATGCACATTGGTCATAATGAATGCCCCTGCCATAAAAAGATCAAAGGCTCCCCACTGCCTTGACATAGCTGGCCCTTCTTGGTCTGTGACACTTCCAGTCCCACACCCTGCACACTCAGAATCCATCAGCATGATTTCCCTGCTTGCTGGAACCCTCTGTCCACATCCCTAAGCCACTCACTGTCTGTCTCTCAAACTCCCAATTGTGCTTCAAGACTCAGCACAAACCTCCCCTCCTCCATGAGCCCCCCCTCCAGCCCCTGACATGAGCGGGTGCTCCTCAGGGCTCTGCTGCACCTCAGTGTGAGGTTGGGGAGCAGCAGACACACTATTTCCTCCACTGGCTTCACATCCATGGGGCTCCTGTCTAGTTCAACCTGGTCCACTCGGTGCAGATACAGAGACAAAAGTGCTAAATGGGAGAGTGAGAGCCACATGGCCCACAGGCAGCAGCGGACAGGAGGAGAGAGGGCAGAGCGGCTCTGCACGGGGCCCCCTGGCAGAGGCCAGTGCTGCTGCTGGCAGCTGTGTCCCCCACTGTCTGTCGTGAGTCCTCGAGTCCACCGCCCCCTCCTGAGCTGAACTTCATCTACGGCCACAGGAAAGTCTCTCTTTTCTTAAGTATTTGAGGGGCCATTTCCTTTCTATTGACATTTTACTTTAGGCAATTGGCCTGAACTATGTATTTTAAGTGTTCATTTGTCCAGCTGTTACAGCTGCATTAGATTTCATTTTCTGTTTTGTCCCTTACACCCTTCTCCATGAAGACGGTCCTCACCCCAGTTTTTGCTTCCTTTTTTTAACAATGCATCAAGCTATACTGAACATTGGCCATAAACTAGCACCAGAAATCTGTATCAGCCAAGATTCTTGACAGGAAATATTTTTTAAGCATGTGTTTATAGGATACTGGAGGGTCACAGAATCATCAGAAGGCTGAAAGATGAGGCTTGAAAAAAGGCAAGACCTAAAGCTAGCAGTGCATTCAGATTCCTGAACAGGAGCAGTCTGACCAAGATGCTACCAGCACCTGCTGCTCCAAAGATGAATTCTCACCATCACTTTACCTTTGCATCATTCATGACATTTGAAGCATCTGGTGGGCCCAGCCTAAGTCACACACCCTACCAGGGGCACAAAGGGAAAGGCAAGCAAGAGTTTGGTCATTTGGGGTCCTATAATAATAAATGGGGATCACTCCTTTCAAGACCTCACATAAGTGAATAACCCTCAAACGGTCAGGGAGGTCAGAAGTTTTTTGGATAAGAGCCTACCTTTTCCTTAATTCAGTGTGGATTAGTTCTCCTTAAATGCATTACTTCATCTTTATCCCCAGTGAATCTCCCTTATTTTCTTCAGTGTCATGAATTTATGTCTATCCCACCCTACTCTATTTACCACTTTATTACTAGAAGAAATTAATGTCATATAATATTCCCTCGCTTTATTTGTGTATTCTAATGGCAGGTCATCTACCCTGTGGTTAACTACACTCATGGCCCCTCTTGCCAGCATGCCATAAGCTTCTAAGTCTCCTGCATCTTGGCCCTCCCCACCACACTGAGTCTGGCACAGAGCATTCAGCAAGTACTGTTGGCTGGAGTAATAAGGCTTCACAACTCCACTGTAATTGGTGTCCTGGATGTCTTACAAAATTGTTAGATAAACTGGTCCCAGTATCAAACCCCTGACTCATTCTGAGATGCAATCATTCATCTATATCCTTTGTTTCCACCTTCTGTTGACTTTTTTTCTTAAAAAAAAGAACTCTGTGATAAAATTTTATAAAAAGCTTCCACTCTGATTATACACACAAGTCACCCTGAGATTCTGCTCTAACTGTTACAGAGTGGGACTCAGACATAGTTGATTTTTCCAAAAGCCCTCCAGGTGATTCTAAGGTGCAGTCAGGGTGAAAGTCACTGGGCATGGTTCCCTATCTTCCATGCATGCTCCCCTCAGAGAACTCTCCATCACAGGCAGGCATGGTATCTCCTTGTAGAAAGTTTACTGCTTCTTATCCGAAAGGTTACATACATTTGAATGTAAAAAGTTCTTTTCCATGTATAGCCTACCCATTTACAGTGAACGTGAGTGGGAAGGAAATGGCCCAGGCTGGTGTGGTTCAGTGTTGGAACTAACCTCGGGAACTTAACAAGTCTCTGGCAACATGTGGATGGATATGGTGACCTCCATCCTGGCCAGCCTTCCCACAAACACTCCCCAGGACCGCTGTAGAGCCCTGGGGCCAAGGGCCAGAGGGATGACCATCTAGGTGTAGGAAGCTTTGTCCAGTTTGTCAACTGCATTTAAATGGACTGTCCATTTGCCACTCTTTTATGTAAAACTGTTATTCAACCAATTTTCTGAAAAAGAAACGAAACGTTGGTCCTTGTGGTTGAATATAACAACTCCATTCTCTCTCTCTCCCACCTGAGTCCTGCCCCTTCCTTGTCACCCATCTACCCTTGGAGGGAGCACTGCCTGACGACAGCATAGACACCTGGCATAGAGCAAAGCTTTACAGGTACAACAGTAAGCTCCAAGGCTCTGCTCCCAGCCTTGGAGAATTTAATCATTTCCTCTATTTATCTGGGGCTGTAAACTTAACTACCTATGCCAGTGAAGGTGGAAAAGAGAATTTATTTGCGCAGATATGTGTCAACAATTCTTTAGGAAAACCCAAAAGGTGCCCTTCCATCATCTGCTTGTGTGAGTCATCACAAAATGCTGTCTTTGTAATATATTACCTGGGGTGTGAACTACCCTAATTTCTTTTTCAGTAACTATTGATGAAAAGCATTAACTCGTCTTTCTGTTCCTGGTACTTGATCCCAGCTCCCATAGGAACTCCAGTCACTGAAAGATCCTACCAACCCACTGGCCACTCCCTTCTTTTGAAGAACTGGGTTTAATAAGGTCATTTCCAAAGTACTCATTCTGCCTCATCCAATTCCTGTGGCCCTTTGACACTACTGANCCCATAGGAACTCCAGTCACTGAAAGATCCTACCAACCCACTGGCCACTCCCTTCTTTTGAAGAACTGGGTTTAATAAGGTCATTTCCAAAGTACTCATTCTGCCTCATCCAATTCCTGTGGCCCTTTGACACTACTGAGGAGTACATCCTGACAGCTTTACCGCTTTACAATTCCAAGCAGTTCCCTCTCTCTGCAGGCATGAGTTTTCTAATACTGTCCTCATCCCACAAGGTGACCAACATCTCCACTTTCAACCAAAGTTTTTCTCTCACTTGATAGCCACTTTCCACAAGCAAACATGTGGGCTTCCCCTGTAGCTCAGTTGGTAAAGAATCTGCCTACAATGCAGGAGACCTGGGTTCAATTCCTGGTTTGGGAAGATCCCCTGGAGATGGAAATGGCAACCTGCTCCAGTATTCTTGCTTGGAGAGTCTCATGGACTGTAGCCTGCCAGGCTCCTCTGTCCATGGAATCGCAAGAGTCGGACACAACTTAGTGACTAAACCACTACCACCACCACAAGGAAACATGGTTGGCTTCACTTCCCAAGAGGCAGAGCTGTGTCCAGGACAGAGAGCAGAGGACAGGCAGGCCGGGCTGCGTGGTGGTGCTGGGCCAGGCTCGCCCCCAGCTACAAGCCCTGCCTCACTCCATGTGCAGCTTGTGAACTGTGACTGTCAAATCCAAGAGTGATGAGAGTTTTCCCTGTGCCATGGCTCATTTTTCACAGGCATGCTTTGAAGATACTCCTCCGATTAATCTGTTCTTATTCTGCTAGTTAGCAAGCTCCAGGGCTCCTAAAATACTTTATCTTTTTGATGTGTAATAAACAGCTCTTCTTGAGCTTCATATAAGCTTATTGTGAAACAATTAATCAGTCTATTTCATTTTAGCCCTACTAATATCTGCTATTTATACAATTCCTTTTTCTATAACTGAATAATATTGAGATTGACACTTTGGGGGCTTTTCCTATTCAGTTTAACATGTGGATTAATAGGGGAAAAAAATGTCCCCACCTGAAAATGTGTACTGTCTGTAAAGGTATCCCCATAGTAGGAGTGTGTCTGTGTCCGGTCGCTCAAGTCTGACCAACTCTGCGACCCCATGACTGTAGCCTAGTAAGCTCCTCTGTCCATGGAAGTTTCCAGGCAAGAATACTGCAGTGGCCTGCCATTTCCTACTTCAGAGGATCTTTCCAACCCAGAGATCAAACCCATGTCTCTTGCTCCTGCATTAGGAAATGGACTCTTTACCACTAGCGCCACCTGGAAAGTCCATAGGAGTGTGTAGGGGAATCAAGATGTAGTAAGCATCAACCATGCACCAGGTATTGTGCCTCATACAGATTACCTCAGAGTCACTGTGACATAGTCAAGATTTTTTAGAAAGCGTAACACCCGACAGCCAGGAAAAAGTTCCTCTGGGGTAGGGATATAAAGTGAAAAGAAACTTCTGAGAGAAACCATGGGCTGGGAAGCCAAATAATTAGAAATTGATCAGAGGAGCGGCAGGAAACCCAGAAAGAAACAGATGAACTGACCAGCTGCAGGTCAGTGGAAAGGAATCCAGGGCAGCCGGCAGCCGCTGAGGATAATTGTTCTGGCAGAAAAGGACTGAGAGGAAGAGAAGGAAGTGCTCAGAGGTGCTTCTCTCTCCTCTGAGGAGGAGAGTCAAGGGGCAGAGGCCACAGGTCTGGGTCCAGGCGAGACCCTCAGGGCACACAGACCAGCAGGAAGAGGCCTTGTTTTCTTGGGGCCCAGGAGAGCTCAGAGATGGGCCAGCTCAGGACCAAGCCACAGCTCAGACGGGGGAGGGCGGACAAACGGTTTATTAAACACCACATCAGGGTGGCAGGGTGTGTCGAGAGACCACGTGAGGCAAGCGCACTAGCCAGCCTCTCATGCCGCACCCTTCCCTCCTCCAGGTGCCAAGAGTACAGCTGCCTGTGGCCCAACTTACTCCCCAAGTACAGTCCCTGCTACTGCAGCCCAGTCAGTCCCAAGGAGGGCAAGAAAGAAAAGCCGGGGTTCATGGCTTTCAGGGGGAGTCTCACTTGGTCCTCTTTTTGTGGGACCCCAGGGCAGGGTGGGGTGGGCAGCACACCAGGGAGCCGCTATTGTGGAGTTGCCCCGAGCGGTTCTGTCCCTGTTCCCGCACTTGTGGAGACGGCCTCTGATTGCTACTGACAACCAAGGATACTCTCTTTTCTTTCTTGCATAGGCTTTACAACTGCCTGTTCCAGGAAACACTCTTGTGTCCTCTCCAAAAACCCATCTTCCACCTCTCACGTGGTGGGTGCACAGTGACCTGCCCACAGGCTGTCACCAGGCAGGGTTTAGCAGGCGCCTCCGCCACCAGTGAAGTGCTGGCCTGCCTGTCTGTTTTACTGTTGGGGACAGGTGGCCTTTCAAACAAGTCCCCCCACCCCCAACCTCCATGCATAAGTCTATTATTAGAGGTGGAATCTCCACCCACAAAGTCTCCCCCGGGGTTGCTGGTGGATCTCCCCCGGCTGCTGGTGAAAGCTGTTCTCACTCTTACTTGTGGCCTTCCTGGGACACATGCTGCCCCCTCACGAACACCTATTCTTGGCTTCCCTGCAAAACAGGGGAAGGAGTGGAGAGAGGGGCCCCGCCCAGGGGATCATTTGACTCTTTTCATCCAGATCAGAGTCTCTGATGGTTGAAAGGGCCTCTGTGGGGGAATCCACAAGAAAGAACCGGCTCAAGAAGGGGCAGAGCTTGCTGGCATGGTGTGGACAGCAGCTGGCCGCTCCCTCAGTCCAGGCCCAGCTGCTCCCGGAGGCCTTTAGTCGCTCTAATGGAGCCCAGCTTTTCATTCCACAGTTAGAGAAGAGGCCCCTGGGAGATGAGACATGAGATGGCAGCAGCAAGCACAGACATATAAATGAGGGACACTGACTCCTTCCCTGAGAGTAAACCCTGCTCACCTGGGGGGTCTAAGACCCCGGGCCCTGGGAAGTGAATGTCAGTGCTCTCACTCCCTGAACTGCTTCCCCTTGCAAACCTTTTTGCAAGGTAAGGCCAAGACACCTTTCCACCCCTGAAAATAAATATCACCTTGACACTGGTGTCTACACACCTGAAAAAGAAACCTGCACCAATGTGAAAAGCCAGCCCAAACACTGCTCTAAAATGTAAGTTCAGCACTTCTAGCCCCAGGCTGTCCCAAGTAGCACCCCTCTATGTACCTGCAAGGCAGCTTTGCAAAGCCTCACACCAGAGAAAAAGGTGCTTTTTCTGCAATAAGAGCAGTGATACTCAGGAGTTAACTGAGTAAGGACACCTCCCTGGCCTGGCATGTCTTTCTGATACATGACGGGAATCTCAGGGTCCACTTTCCCCCAGGGAACTTAAGGGAAGAGAGGAGTTTTGGGGGATTTCCAGCAAAATGTCTGGAAGTCTTAATCTCCTGGGTTCTAGAGATGCCAAGTGAGTGTCCTTGATTGTCACATGACCTCCAGCCTGTTCAGAGGCTGTGGAACATGAGGACTTGGCTAATCATCTCTGGGCTGGTGTAGTGCTCAGGAAAACAAAGATGCAGTATCCAAATCCATTGGGCCATCCCCTGGGGAACCATAGAGGACAAGGGGCCTCCAGCTCTGCCTCCCACCACCCCTCACCTTGGCGCTGGGCTTCCTGCCCTCTTTTCTATCCATCAGCCTCCTCCTCCTTACCAGTTTCTTGTGAGTAGCTTTCTGCTCATAGTGGAAGGGAGGCTACTGGCAATAATGAAGGATTGTTGGAGCTGGGGATCTCATGTGACCAGATTCTTTGTTTCTGCTCTGATTTTTGACATGCAGGGTTGCCCGTGTCCCCATTATTTAGCACCTGCATGCATGTGTCTTCTCTGATGTGGTTACCCAGGTCTGGGTATACATAGGAAGGACCTGTACCTGTCCCACGGTTTTGGCCCTTGTACTGCAGTCCTGGGCCCACGACTACGTGGATTCCCCAGCCAGGATGCAAAGGGGAGGCAGCCATTGCTGCTCAGAGCTGATCAATGAACTGCAGCCTGAGCCCACCAGGCTGCAGGACTCACCCACCTTTTCCGCAATCAGGAAGTCATAGCGAAGGGCCTCTCGGGTGCAGATGGCGCCGAGCAGGACGACAAAGACGATGTACAGAAACCACCTGCAAGAAACCCAAGAGCGGAACAGGGCTGCCACCTGACATCACTCAACCCCATTCCACTCCACCCTCCTCAGCCTGAGGGCTCCCCCAGGGAACTGTCCCCAAGGACAGAGAATGGCCATCACGAAGCCTCCCCAGATTGTCTGGGGGCACTGCCAGTACTCTTTTCTCCTCTAGTGTATTTCATATAAACATACATAAACATATCATTTCATATAAACATACATAAATGTATCATTTCATATAAACATAAAGAAATGTATCATTTGCCTCTTACAGAGGAAAACACACAGAGGTTTTCTGGGGTGGGGCAGTCCAGCTGGCCAGGATGCAGGCCACGGTTGACTGGCAGGTCTGTACCCCATCATTCTACAGCAGAACAAGTTGATGAGCTGTCAGGCCTCAGACTCCTGCTGTTCCTTGGCCCCCAGGTGACAGAGAGCTAAGCCGAGTGTGAAAGACCAACTGTGAGCTGGCTCTGCCCTCAGAAGCCCTGTGACCTCGATGAGCTCACATGAACCCAGTGGCCTCATTCCCATCTGGACAGTAGGAGGATGGGCCAAAGGCTCCTCCTGGGACCTCCCAGCTGTGACCAAAACTGAGGCAGGGTTCCTTCTTTTCCTTCTGGACAACCACCCTTATCTTTGTCAGCCTCATTTTCCTCCCAGAGAGATCATCTTATTTAGCACAAAATAGACAGGTACTGTATACCTGGCTAGGAGCCACAGTCCCATTACAACAAGCTAAAGCAAACTCAGCAGTGAAGAAGAAGTGTATTAATATTTTTTAAACATCACGGTTAAAATAATGCAGGTACTTTAATCCTTGTTATGTCTGGGATTTCATTACCTTTCACACCTACCCAGTGAAGGCAGAGGAGCTTTTTCCCGTAATACAGAGAAAAAACAGAAGATTCTACGTCAGAATCAGACCCAAGGCACCCAGCCTGCTCACATGGGTGGCACAGTGTGAACTAACACAGGAAAGCCTGACGGCCTTGGGGCAGCGCCAGGGAGGCAAGCTGGGAGAAGAAGAGAACCAGCCTCTGACTTCCTACTGTGTGCCATTACACACAGCATCTCCTCCACAGTCTACAGGACACATGTGTTCTCATTAACCCCATTTTACAGAGAAGAAAATGGAGGCTCAGAAGGTTAATTGTCTGAAGTCCCACAGACAATCAGCGGAGGGGAGTAGTATGCAAGTCTTATTTTGTCGCAAAACTCTTCCTTTTTATATTCCCTGCAATGGTCCTGGAAACTCAATGGTTACAAAATGCCCAAGTTCAAAATGGGGGTGGGGAAGGGGCAGGGCAGGAGGTTGAGGGAAAAAGCAAAGAAAGGAGTTCACCTTCTTTAACGACCCCCTTCCTTGCCGCATTCCCAGGCAGGGGGGATGAAAGAGCAAGCATCTAAACCCACCAGACGTGAATTTTCCAGCTGGCTGAGTGTTAAAAGGAGGATTGGAATATCGAATAGATTGGTCACATTCAGGGCACTCTTAGAACAAAAGCAGCAATCCCCTCTTTTGCTGGGGTTTTCTCTCCCTCTCTCCAGCTGATTGCCACAAGGGGAACTTACGAGATGCCAATGGCTACTAGGGAGCCCAGGGGGATGCTGGCAGCAGGCTCCCTGAGGTCGCCCCCCATGTTGAAGCCGGCCATGACTCCTGAAAGACACCCAGATGGGAGAGAAGGGTGAGCAGCATCCTCCACACATCACCTTCCCCTCCTCGGGGCCTCTCCTGGAAGGGATCCTCGGGCATGCCCTCCCATCTGCAGCTCTGCAAAGTGCACTTCTCAGTCTCCCCTGGCAACTGGGGAGGCATCCTCAAGGCGTGAAAGGGACTTTTGTGGGTTGGCTGATGCTCAGGAAGAGAGCCCAACTGGTGACAAAAGCATCTTATGGCCCAGTGCAAAGTAATGAGGGCCAGGGAGGCGGCTGGCAGGCCACACAAAGGTCCCAAGGCCACATGCTGAGCTCTGAACTCCGCCTTCCAGCCAGACAACACCCAGGAGAGACTCAGCCTTAGCAAAGCACTGCCCCTGCCTGCTCAGCAGAGTTCTTTTCCTCTGCTACCCCTAGACTACACTGGGGTTCAGGGGCCCCAGAGACACGTTTCATCCAATATTCAGTCAGCAGCCATGTTCAAAGCTCCTGAGCTGCCAAAAGGCTCTAAACAGATTCCAACAAACTATCTTGATGCTACCAACACTGAGTGGCAAGCTCCTCTTCACCATGGACTCTATTCCTCATGAACACTCATGAAAAGCACATAGTCATGATGGGAAGCACATCGTTGTGGTCCAAACAAACACAGGCAGGAAACCAACAAGACAGCATGCGCTGAGCAACACATGGATCCAGCCCACACGTGCTCTGCAAGTCCACAGGAGTGGGTGCATTGTGAATGTGGTCTTGAAGGACATTTTGCATGGGTTTGGGGAGAGGAATGGGTCCAACTCCATCAATATGGATATATGAACACTTTGAACCTGACAGGGCCTGTGTTAAGTGCTTTTCATGT